AAAATGGAAATTCTTCTTTTACGGTACAAGTTTCATGAGTGGCTATTCTTTCTCAAATTTGCTGTTCAATAATAAAAGATAAAGTTCTAAGTCACTATGTTTTATATAAGATAGGATACATAGGCCGGGCGTGGTGGCTCACACCTGTAATCCAAGCACTTTGGAGGCCAAGGAGGGTGGATCACCTGAGTTTGGGAGTTCAAGACCAGCCTGACCAACATGGTGAAACCCCATCTTAAAAAAAAAAAAAAGAAAAGAAAAGTAAAGAAGAGAGGACACATAAGAGTGGTCAGTGCCTATAGTCCCAGCTACCTGGGAGGCTGAGACAGGAGGATCATTCAAGCCCAGGAGTTCTAGACCAGCCTCAGCAACATAGTGACACCACATCTCAAAGAAGAAGAAGAAGAAGAAAAAAAGAGTGGTCAGAGGTATATGTGTATTTTAAAATAAATAAATAAATAAAACAAGACTATGTGCAGTAGCTCATGCCTATAATACCAGTACTTTGGGAGGACAAGGCAGGAGTATCACTTAAGCCCAGGAATTTGAGGCTACAGTGATATGATCATACCACTGCACTCCAGCCTGGGAACCAGAGTGAGACCACCTCAAAATAAATAAATTAATGAATAAATACCCACATACTAACACAGCTTAAAAAGAAGTAGATTACCAATATGTTGAAGACCCCAGTACCCCCCTCTTACTCTCCTCCCCAAGCAACCACTATCCTAAATTCTGAATCATTCCTCTGCTCTTCTTTATGGTTTTACCAGACGTGTATGAAATCGTGAAAAACAGTGTTTGTTATAAATTTTTAATTTTTATAAAAATTAAATCATAGTGTATATATTCTTATATGGTTTGCTTTTTTCAATCAACATTGTATTTTTGATATTCATCCATGCTGGTGTGTATCTATGTTCTATTCATTTTCAATATATTTTTAAATTTTCTTATTGATGGCCACACGGGTAATTTCTAGAGTTGTGCTCTTAGAAACAGTGCTTAAAAACATCTTGTACATCTCGAGTTAAATGGGTATGTAAAGTAATGGAATTGCTACATTATGTTTCCAGACATAATGATCACTGTGTTATTAGCCTCATTTCATTAATGAAGGCTTAAAGACCTGGAAACTTGTTCGAGGTCACACAGGTAGGTAGTAAAGTTAAAACCAATAAATTCTATTTCTTCCACTTGAAAAAATGCAAGGTTAGGTAGCTGATACTTCTGGAAACATGTAATTATCAAGAAGAATCCTGATGAATCATGTTTTATCTTGTTTTACGTAGAGTTAAAAGAGGAGGTGCTAGCAAATTATTCACTCAATTCTACCACTTGACCACTCACAGCAACTTGACTACATAATGATCATGATTAAAACTTTTATTCTATTAAAATATCCTGTATTTCACCACTACTGAAAATTCTAGTCAAATGTTATAGTTTAAAATGTGTGCAAATTGTGTACATATAAAATTGTAAGACATAGTAATAAAGTGGTTCTCATTGTGACTACAATTTTAAATTACAAGCACTTTTATTTTTGCCATAACTAAATTTGGAATTACTATGTTTAAGATTCACTGAAGTGAATATTTTTTAAAATACTACATATTCATTTTAGAAATTTAAGAATACTTTCAAAAATGTCATGCATGTCATTTAAGCCAACCAAATAATTTCCAAGGTACCTAGCACTATACTTAAATAGTAAAAAGGGTAAAAAGCCAAAGTTTTATTTCAGCTCTGCAGTCTTTCCTTTAAAAAATATTTGTAATAAGGCCAGTTGCGGTGGTTCACACCTGTAATCCCAGCACTCTGGGAAGCCGAGGCAGACAGATCACAAATTCAGGAGTTCGAGACAAGCCTGGCCAATATGGTGAAACCCCATCTCTACTAAAAATACAAAAATTAGCTAGGAGTGGTGGCACACGCCTGTAATCCCAGCTACTCAGGATGCAGAGGCAGGGGAATTGCTTGAACCCAGGAGGTAGAGGTTGCAGTGAGCCAAGATCAGGCCACTGCACTCCAAACTGGGCGAGAGAACTAGACTCCATCTCAAAAAATAGTAATAATATATATATATGTATATATGTATATGTGAGTGTGTAATAATTTGGTCTCCAATTTATTTCACAAGTCTTAATCTTGCTTTTTAAATAATCCTATTTTCAATCACACTCTTATCTAACATGACTATTAATTACATGATCCTATGGTAAAGCACATATTTCTAAAAATGTAGCTACTTAAACCAACTGCAATGTAAAGGCATCTTTACATTACAGTACTTTCTAAATATTACATTGTTACTTTCAACAAAAAGGAATCAGATTATAACAAAATTGCTATAAAATAGCTTAAAAGCGTAATAGTACTTCATTAAACATTAAAATGAATGTGTTTTAACTAGCTCTATATCAATTTTATATATGCTACAGAAAAAATTAATATGAAGTTAAATAATTTTCTTTTTTTTTTCTTTTTGAGACAGGTGATGGTCTCACTCTGCCGCCGAGACTGGGGTGCAGTGGTGCCAATGCAACCTCTCCTTCCTGGGCTCAAGCAACCCTCCCACCTCAGCCTCCTGAGTAGTTGGGACTACTACAGGTGCAAGCTACCCTACTCAGCTAATTTTTTAAAAATTTTTTGTAGAGACAAGGTCTCAGTATATTGCCAAGGCTGGTCTCCAACTCTTGGACTCCGACTCTTCCGGCCTCAGCCTCTCAAAGTGCTGAGATTACAGGTGTGAGCCACCATGTCACTTTTATACTATAAAAAAGCATAAGATCTTGTGAGTTCCAAAGCGCCTTGGGTATCAAGAGCCAACATTCTATTTCACAGATCTGAAACTTAATGCTCCTTTAATATCTTTCCTGGATGCTGTCAGAATAGTATTTCAAACATTTTCTACAATTTGAATTAAATATTACCTTACTAAATAATGCGAGGCTGGGCAAAAAAAATTAAGTGTATCTCCAAATATAGCATAACAGTTTAATGCTCTGTTTGTTGCCTTACCAAAAAATGAATGTCTGCAACACATTCGCAAACCACCTAAAGATTCAAACTCACAATGAAATTGCAATGACATATTGTGCTATTTGACATTAGTTATTACCAAGACAGTTCAAAAGGAAGGGAACACTATCTTATTAGTATTAATTGGAAATGTGCTGATAGACCCACCTGACCAAACATCTTCTTGTAATGTATTATATTACCTGAGAAAGGTAACTTTTTTTTTTTTTTGGAGACAGTCTCACTCTGTCGCCAGGCTGGAGTGCAAGGGCGCGATCTTGGCTCACTGCAACCTCTGCCTCCCCGGTTCAAGCAATTCTCCCGCCTCAGCCTCTAGAGTAGCTGGGACTACAGGCATGCACCACCACGCCCGATTAATTTTTGTATTTTTAGTAGAAACGAGGTTTCATCATGTTGGCTAGGATGGCCTCAAATTCCTGACCTCGTGATCCACCACCTCGGCCTCGCAAAGCGCTGGAATTACAGGCATGAGCCACCGCACCTGGCCATATATTACGTGAGAAAGGTAATTTACAATCAGTGCTAATACACACCTTAACCTGATTTACAAAGGCAACTAGCTATAAACAGAACAAGGCCCATGAGCTACCACACAGGTGATTTCAATTCTGTATATCTGGACTGGATGGGAATACGGAGGCTCACACGTTTGTGGCCTTCTTGGAGTATGGGAATGTCACGTCCTGCTATAGGACTGCAGTGAGAATTCTGGTCATAAAAACTCTCCCTTCTAAAATTCACTGTAAATCAAGGACAAAAATCATGAGATTTTTAAAGACAATAACATGGAAAAATATTTCTGTTAGCAGCTAGTAGAAGTATTCGTTAAAAAGGATAATGAGAGACATTTTTGGTAACAGCTCAGAGTAAAAAGTAAAACTCAGAGAACCTAGGCTTGAGAATAATGCACACCTACTAATTCAGGACTAGACACATAAATTTGAGAGCTTTTAACATAAAAGTAGTATTTGAAGTGACGCAACTCGTGAATTAGCTCACTGAAGGATTCAGTATAGACAGAATGCAGGCACCCCGATGTAAAGAGATCACAACAACAAAAAAAAAGGTTAAAAAAAAAAAACTCGGAAGGACTGAGAACCAGTGACAAAAGAGGAAAACCAGGAAAGTTTGTTGCCTGAGAACCAAATGAATAAAGAGATACAAGGAGAGTCATTCAGGTATGATATTAATAAATGCTAAAAGTAAAGCATTACATTTTTTTCCAAAAATAGTAAATCCTCCAAAACGGAAAAAAATTGAAAGATATTTTACTTGGCATTCATTTATCAGTAATAGAGAAAAAAACGGAAGTTATAACAATGTAATCTAATAGAGATATTTTAATCATTTTCATTACGTGTATGCTACTCCCAAGCATCGTATCTTCCTTTTAACATCCACATGAAACAAGCTTTTAAAGAGCACAGCAATTCTCTTGGGCAGCATTAATTTTAAAGAGAACCTCTTAAGTTGTTTTACCAGCTGAGACTGACTAAACAACCAGTGTCTCCCATTCAGCTTCCAGTCTTTCCTCAGAAATGCCGCTCTGGCATAACTTTTAAGACTCAAGATGGTTTAAAGCGCACCCTGTTTCTTCCAAAGAGAACGGGCAAAACTCAACATTCATGGAGGGCTTAGAGAAAGTTATATCCAAATACTGTGACCTCCTGGAAGAGAGACGCTCAACTCCTACAAAGTAGATGCTCAATAAATATTTTTGATTTAACTCTGGAAAAGCTCAATTTTACAGCGGCGTTGGGGGTGCGCCTACTCCAGGGCACCATCCCCTCCAGAATAGTTGCATTCCCACGCCCCTCATACTCGGCGCAGAGATGGGACCCACGAACATGCAGGCATCCTCCCAGTTAATAAAAGCAATGCAGGACGGCGCACAACCGCATTTCTGACTCTAAGTTTAAAAGAAAACCCCTCGCCCTCGGGCCAGGGCTCACCTGCCTCGAGAGTGGGGAAGAAGCGCGGCTCCCGCTCGCTTCGGAGTAGGCGTCCCGTGAAAACTCTCGCCTCATCACCAGGACAGAAGCTTCTACCCCGGGCAGAGGCTTCCTAAGCAAGAGTCCCTGGACCCGGGAGGGAGCGACACGCTTGCTCCGTCTCTAGGGTCTCCGGGTCGCCGCCGACGCAGTTCGCTCAGGTGCTACCCGGCGGCTTGAGTGTGCGCGCGCTCCCGCCTCGTCGCTTAGCAACCTCAGAAGCTGTCGGGTAATCCCAACTTAATAATTCCTCCTCCCCTCCAGAGTGTGAATTGTTTTTTAAAAGATTTTGTTTCCGGGTCGAGCCAGCTTTACGCAGCGGAAGGTCTCTTTACCTTCCACGTTTACCCTCAGGGGAGGATGAAGTTTCAGTCGCACGCGTGGGGATGATGTCGCTAAGGTGTCGGTCTCTCCTCCCTAGACTTACATACTCTGTCTCTCCCGCCAATTGCCAGGCGCCATCAGGCAGAGCCTTTTTTCATGAGCCCAAACCATCCGCGTGTCGCCTTTCTCCAATCAGAGCGGCTCATCCTCAGGGACTACTTTGCAATTGACGAATTGCGCAGGGAGAGGAACGTGAGAAAACCCTCTGGTCTCGGGAAGTGTAGTTCAATTCTTAAAGGAAACGCTTTGGCGATTGCGCCAGAACCAGGACAGTGTAAACTACAATTCCCAGAGGGCGCCGCGTCGCGAGCGGAGCCTTTTTTCGCTAACACCGCTCGCCCTCTCCGAGTCAGTTCCGCAGTAGAGGTGACCTGAAGCTCTGAGGCTCGTTTTGCAGGCGTTGAAATTGTCCTCGCAGTTTTCAGTCATGGTGAGTGTGGGCCCCGGGTGCCTGCCTATCTCCGGCACTCGCGCCCTTGTGTGGGGTTTCTTGCACTTTAGGGACTTTTGGGAGGCAGATCTGCAAGGCACTGTCCTTCGTGCCCTTTGGAAAGCTCGGACTCATCTTCTGGGGATTGTCGAAGTGACCCAATAATTGGGAAGGGATTGACGTCCACCTTGCAGGGCATGGGGAGGCCCTTAGGAGGACTCTGGAGAAGTATTTGTTCTTGGAGAGGCACGATCTTAATCCTGCTGCGTGGCGAGAGGACAAAATACGAGCTTTAGCTATTTTCCGAAGGACATTATGGGGTTTGTTTGATAAGGACGATAAGGTTTGCGATGGGAGGGAAAGGTTGGGTCCTAACCCCTTTTTCTCCTCATTAGCCCACAGTGTTTATAAGGGCTTTTGTCACAGGGCCTTTGAAAGCAAAAATCTGGAAAGGTAGTATTTACCAGGTGCTCCAGATTACGATCTACGTTTGCAGGAGAGGTGTTTCCGCCATATCTAATTTCACAAAATTAGAAACCCGTTCATTGACCTCCTTTTGCAATGCCAAGATATGCTGAAGTGACGGCATCACTAGCCAGATAACTACTGCACATATTCTTTATTGAACTGTATGAGTTCCAGAAGCACCTCTTTTAAATGTAACAGTGTAACCATTTTGTCATGGAAGACCTGGATAACCTAGATCTCCATCTCTTGCCTCTGCTGAAAGAGAGGGAGAGGGGGAGGGTTGTTGAAGGAACTCTGACGTAGGAATAATTTGCGTACTGCTTGAAGGTGACATTTGTTATCAAACTCAGAGAAATCGCTTCATACTATAAACACAATGGCTTTTATTTATAGTTGCGACTATTTTTTTTTACTTTATCTCCAAAATACTAAAATGGCTGGAGAATGTGGAGAAATGTTCGAATGAATTGGAAATTTTCCAGAACCTGAAAAGACACGTTTTCAAGGCAAGGGCATTACTCTCTCTGCCTATATAACGGGGCCATTGGAGACAGCTGCCAATTTCCAGTGGGTGTTAAACCTAGGTCTGCTAAATATTTTGTCACATAATTAGTCATTTAAATTACAGTTTCAGTGGTTTCCGTCCTAATCACCTTAGGTAAGCAGAGGTACTTATTATCTGAGAACTTTGGACTTTTTTCTTTTAGAACTAAATGGGATTTTTTAAAGGTCATCTTGACGAATCTCCCCACTTCAGATCTTTAAGTTGAGTTTATCGAGACCCAGAGAGAATGTAATTTGCCCCATGAGTCTCACACTCTATCCATTTTTCTATATTGTGTCTTATACTTACCAAGTCTTGCTGAATATTTATTTTTATAGGGACCACTGCAGTGGGGTCTCGCAGCTATACTCAACTCTCTGAAAATTTATTTTTAGTAGCTGAGATTTTGGATGAAGTTACCAGCTCATACTGCATATACAAACTCAACTATGTTATCTACATGTAGATTTTTTTTATAGCTTTATTCCTTACAATTCAAAATATTGGAATTCTAGAATTCAAAGGAAATTTGGAGATTATTTTATTTACTCTTATAATGTTGTCTGTTGAGGTCAGATAATTTTCCCAAGGTCACAGAGAGATTGTGGGCTCCTGATTCTTAGCTGGTTTTCCCTAGCAAGGTCCCATCCCTAGAAGGTCACTGAGGTGCCAGATAGCAGAGAGACAGAACATAAAGAAGAATTTGTCTGGCAGTTTGCTGAAACTGACAGCAAACTCACAAATGACTCAATTTCCTTGCCCCTTCAGGAGAGTGTATGATGATCAGAGTTAGAAAAGAGCCTTTTTTGTAAGCTCATTCAAAGGGAAGGATTCTTTGCTTTTTGTCTATGGGGAGTGACAGCAAAATAAACTGTATGAAGGAATCTAAATGGTAGTGCTTATTTTTTGTGTTACAGAAATACATGTAATTTAGAAATATATATAAATTAGAAAGTGAAAAAGGAATATGTGGATCTGTCTGTGGAGTAAGAGAGATACTTAAATTCAATCTTTATAGCTGAGAAGTTAGCACGGAGCATGCATCTGCAGGAAGATCATTGGTGCCTTGCTAAGAGCAGAGACATTCCTTCTTTGGATCTTGGCAGACTGCCCAGATATCTGAGCAAAGAATAGTAACCTATGTTCACACTGTAACATTGTGAAAGTCAGCAGGACTCTCCCACCCTCCTGGTTTTCAGCTCCAATGTACCAGATCTGGACTTTTCTTTCTCTGTTTCATCTTCAAACATTCAGACACTAAGCCTCATACTACTATTAAGAAGATGGAATTACCTACCTGTGAAAGTAATTTCTCCAAAGACACAAAAGGAAACTGCTGAAGTGGAATTAACTCTTCATTAGGTGGCCACAACCCATCACTAAGGGCAGTGATAACTGTGAATATGTTTTTAAGTAGCTACTAAAATTGACTGCATTATTCTAACCATACAGGTGACCTTATGGGAGGCTAAACTTTATAGATAGTGATCTTCACTCTCTCCTACTCCACTTTTCTTATCCTAGCTTGTTGTACATTGAAGTTGTATGTGTTTATACTTGTTACTCTAACCTTCCCTCATTCAACAAATACTTGTTGAACACCATATGGAAATGCTAATTCATATCAAAGGCAGACTGCTCTCAAGGGAGCTTCACAGCCTAATAGAGAGCAACAGACATGTAAATAGAAAACCACAGGCTATTAAAGTCTTTAGAAGAAAATTCTGTGATGATAATTATAAATACTTGCTACTACTGTTCTTAGTGCTTTGTGTGTTAACTCTTTTAATCCTTAAAACTGCTCTGTTTGTTAGATAATTGCTATTATTGTCTCCATTTTACTATGGGGAAATAATACAGAGAGATTAAGTAACTTGTCCTAGAGCATACAGTTAATGAGTTGTGGAACCAGGACTTGAACCCAGAAAGTCTGACTCCAGAGTCAATCTCTTTAACTACTGCTCTCTACTGCCTCTCTAGCCCCCTGTTTTAGAGAATTGGCTTATCCTCTTGTTTTCTTCTGATTCGCCAATGGATTCCTTGGCCTAAAATAGTACCAAGTACATGATAGGAATTTAGTGGTGTTTTGTTTAATGAATGAATTAAATGAGACAGCAGTTTGTCAGTAGGTTTATAAGGCATTATCATTAGTACTAGTGACATAAATAAGTTTGTTAACTATAGTTGGAACTATTGTGTTCACTAAGTTTCCAACCTTCTGAAAACATAGTATATATGAATAAAATACCTTTTGTCTTCATAGTATATATGAATAAATTTTTGTTTGTTTGAGACAGGATCTCGCTCTGTCACCAAGGCTGAAGTGCACTGACACAGTAATGGCACACTGTAGCCTTCCAAGGTTCAAGTGATTCTCCTACTTCAGCCTCCCGAGTGCCTGGAACTACAGCATGTGCCACCACACCCAGCTAAATTGTTTATTAAGAGACAGGATCTCACTATGTTACCCAGACTGGTCTCAAACTCCTGGGCTCAAGTGATCTACCGCCTCGGACCCCCAGCAATGTGCTGGGATTGTAGGCATGAGCCACTGCATTCAGCCTTAAATATCTCAAATGAATAAAATAGCTTTAAAAAAAAATTTTTTTAAGTTACATATGTTTCCAAACAGTTCTTACACATTTCCATCTTTTTGGTAGTTTTACAGGACCCAGCTATTCCTTCAAGTAAATATCGGAGTTATAACTATGTGCCAGGAGTTTTTCTAGGCAATTGAGATATAGCAGTAAAAAAAAATAGACAAAGTTCCTGTCCTTAAGGATCTTGCATTCTAAAGGGAAAGGGAGTAATAATAATAATTTCTTCCTCTATTCCCTTTTCCTTACCTATTCTACTTGACTTTAAGAAGGGAAATGACATAATGAAAAACATATTTAGGCGATTAAAGATTTTTCTATAAATAGTAATAATAAATTAGAAAACAAATATTGTATATTTGTTTTTGCTATGATCATTTTTCTACACCAGTTAACACTATTATTATTATTTTTTTTTTTTGAGACTGAGTTCTTATTGCCCAGGCTGAAGTGCAATGATCCAATCTTGGCTCACTGCAACCTCCGCCTCCAGGTTCAAGCAATTCTCCTGCCTCAGCCTCCTGAATAGCTAGGATTACAGACATGTGTTGCGATGCCTGGCTAATTTTTGTATTTTTAGCAGAGACAGGATTTCTCCATGTTGGTCAGGCTGGTCTCAAACTCCTGACCTCAGGTGATCTGCCTGCCTCGGCCTCCTAAAGTGCTGGAATTATACGTGTGAGCCACTGGGACCAGCCTGACACTTCTTTTTTGAAACTTTTTTCCTTTGACTTCTGTGGGTACCAAATTGCTGAGTGCTGCTGACCTTGAGCTTAGAGTTAGAAGCGTAAAAGAAGCCTTCCAGGCTATCCATTCTTGTTTCATCTCAGAGACATGATTCTAATCTGGAAGAGGGAATTTTAAATAAAAAGAAACCAAACAGTTGTAGGCTTAGTCACATCAATGGACCATTTCTCATTGCAGGTTGGGGTAAAGATGGCAGTGGAAGGACATTTACCCAGCATTGTCAGGGAAAGGAATGGTTCACCTTAATTGAATTTTTCTGTCTAACTAAACTTACCAATTAAGTTTCTAAACATTATTGTTTTGTTCTTTTTAATAGAAATATTTCGGGGGTTTTCTCTTTGTTCAATCCCCCCTCCCTCTGTCTATGTATGGGGGAGCTGTTTTCTTCTTCCTTCT